CGGAAGATTCGTCGTGTCTCTTCGTAAAATTAACGTTACTTTTTCTTGAACTCTTATTTTTTGTTTTCTAAGAAATCAAAACAACGGTATTCGCGTTGGCTTCTTCTTCGTCTAATGAATTTCATGGAAATGGTAAAAGAAACGGAAAATAAAAGAAAAAGGAACGTTAGAAATTGACGATGCGTGTATGTTAAAAATTTCAATTAACAAATTACATTTCATCAATGCATTGCGTTCAATTTCCAAAGTTCAATATCTATAGTTATCATTAATGTTTTATGCAAAAACATTCACAAAGCAAATAAATGCATTTCGTACCATAGAAACTCGTTTATCTCGCATAGAAAATGACTTTACCGTTTATACATTCTGGAAAATGCGTCTCTTTATCATACGTGTCCGACCTTTCCCCCAAAACCACCACCCCCCCTCCCACCCTCGTACCGTATATAACGAGCGAATATTTTCATCGTTTGGAATTATTTCGTCGAATGTGGAACGGAGCAGGAGTGGGGGGGAGGGGGGAAGAGGGAGGTTGGAGGCGGATCGATAAAGCTCATTTAATCGAATTTTCTCATATTTTCTTTTTCTTTTTTCGTTGTTTAATATTTCACGATAATATTATATTGCTGTTCGATGATAATTTAGTAAATTCATAATCGATAAGAGGTTTAGCGAAAATTAATTCGAAAATTTATCTTTACCAATCGCAAATATAAATCACCAAATGAAAGAGAAATGGGGTAAGAACGTGTTTAATGTAAAAAAAAAAAAGAAAAAAAAAAAAAAAAAAAAAATTGATGTAATCTCTATTCGATTTGTCGGCCTTTAAACTTGTATAAACGCAAAAACCCTATGATATAATATCTCATAAGAAAAAGATGTTTTATCTATTAAGTTCGGTGAAGCAAAATTGTGTGATCACCACGAGGAACAAGACAAGACAAGNAATTAATTCGAAAATTTATCTTTACCAATCGCAAATATAAATCACCAAATGAAAGAGAAATGGGGTAAGAACGTGTTTAATGTAAAAAAAAAAAAAAAAAAAAAAAAAAAGAAAATGATACACCTAATATCGAAACAATCTACTACACGTCTTGTATAAACAGACATTGGCTATGATATAATATCTCATAAGAAAAAGATGTTTTATCTATTAAGTTCGGTGAAGCAAAATTGTGTGATCACCACGAGGAACAAGACAAGACAAGACGAAACTAGACGAGAGAGATCTTCTTCAACGACGTTGACAGGTTCGTTCGTTCTTTTTATGGATATTTCCTACGAAAGTAACGGAAGTTTTCTTCCTTACGTTTTATCGATGTTGAGACCGTAAGGAACGCGACACGTCTGTCTGTTACTACATCGGATAGAAAGAAAGAAAAAAAAGAGGAAAAAAGATACGGACAACGATCGATGTTTCTACGAAGAAAAAGAGAGAGAGAGAGAGAGAGAGAGAGAGAGAGAGAGAGAGTGAGAGAAATCTCAAGATTTTAAAAACTATCTTGAGAAAAATCTAGAAATCGCTTACTCCTTATCGAGAGAAAGAAAAAAGAAAAAAAAAACGAAACCTCATCGATATTCGTATTATCGATTTATCGAAAAAGAAAGAAAAATGAAAAGTCCTCTTTCCTATTGATCTCCGAACAAAAATATAATGTTGAAAAAAAAGATATGGTGAAACAGAAGGAAGCGTAAAAAAGATATTACTCGTGTTTTAATCAAAAACCAAACCATTGACAAGATAGTTCGATCGAAATTGGATTTAAACGACGATCATCAAAAAACGCGATCTCTAATATTTCTTTTAATAATAGGAAAAAAAATATATATATATCACGTATATAAAAATGAATAGTTCGAATAATGAAAGGAAAGAAAACGTCAAACGTTAAAGATATTATTGATAGGAAGGATTTTAGTCGATCTTTTTTGCCCAAAAAATAAACACGCGGATTTCGAATGTTCATCGGTTTCCGTACTTTTCTTATTGCATACAATGCAAGTCCCTTTCCTCCTCTACCACCCCACCACCATCCCTCAATCGTAAAGATCGCGTTCGATCTTTAAAAAAGAGAGACGAGTTAAGCTTTCTCGTTTATATAAATGTACACTCATATCTATATATATTATTATATATTTGTATGTGCGAGTAAGCGAGCACATACTATACGGGAAATATGAGAACGTCGTAATATTGAATTTATCGTAGCAGTTAACGATAAATAATACCAAGTCTGTCTCTCTCTCTCTCTTTCTCTCTCTCTCTCTCTCTCTCTCTCTCGGTGTATAATGAACGAGAAGGAGGAGGAACGGCTTGAGTTTTTATTGCCTTTGGTCCCGTAGGTGAAACGACCAAATTTGCATCGGCACGAACGATTAAGTCGCTATTAAAGTGCTCTATAATTGCCATACGAGGAAGTACTTAAAAGCACCGAGATTTATTCCCAGACACGTTCGAGGTTCTGTAACGAGTAATTTAACGAATATAAATAAGTGCTTACCAAATGGCTGCTTTTCTTATATCTTTTTATAACTTTTTTCCTATTATAATAAATTAATGAAAACTTTAACACCCCCTTCTTTTTTTATTTTATTTTCTTTTGTTTTTTTTTTCTTTTTTCTGACCCTACGAAACACTTTACGAAGTTTCGTTTACACTATTTCTTTTTCTTTTTCTTTCTCTTCCTTTTTAATTACAAGAAAAAATAATTCAATTACATTAGCCTCGAAAGAAACAACGATCGAAATTCTACGAGCAACGTTCTTTAAATATCTATAGATTATGGTTCTTTAAATTATGATGATACATTAATGACAGTTCATATAACGTTATTTCTCCTGCGATACAATTTTAACAGGAATATATATATATATTCGTATAAATATTACGAAACACAAAAAATGTATGTTAATATTGTACAATATAAATAATATATATATATATATACTCGTATTCTCGTGAACCTTGATCGTTCTCATCGTTCGTATTACGGTGCAAGTAGAGAAACGTGAAACAAGCCGAACGAGTCCAACCCCATATATATATATATATGGGTACATAGAATCATTATAGCAAACGCGTCTACGAACGTTACAGAAAAAGAAAAAAAAAAAAGAAGTAACGCCGTTTTCGGATGTGGGATAACGGCCAAAGAGATTAGATCCTTATAATAGTCTTTACGTTAACGCTACGAAATAAGGAAAGGAGTAGTAGTACCGTTCGTTACGAATGACACGTAATACTAGAAACGTTACAAAGAGTACTCTCTGACTCTCTAACATATAATAGTTATATAATATATCTATATAGAATTATATATACAATAGATTCTATATTAAATATTTTCCAATTTTGTCTAATAAATCAAACATAAGAGAGAAACAAAGTATACTCGTATACAATCTAATTACGTTAACAGACTAGATATCAGTATATTAATTCTTCATTATGTCATTAAACGTTTCAACGATCCTCGTAATAACGTTTGATCATATAATGAATTATAAACTTACATAGAACCTATATTAATATAATCAAACGTTTACAAAGTGTATGTAATAAACATGATACAAATAATACAATTTTATACTAAACTTTTTATATCGATCTTTCATAAAGAATTTAAAAATATATATATATATAACAGTTTAAACAATAATATAATATAAATAAAAAGAAAAAAGGAATATAATCTAATACATGTTATATCCTTCTATTTGAAAATATATCAGTAATAAATAGAGAGAGAGAGAGAGAGAGAGAGAGAAACAAACAAAAAATAAACTCGTTCGATTACGATAAAGAGATGGAAACGGTAAACGTTAGTTAATAGTTAGTAGATACAAGTAGATACGAGTAAATACTTACATACGTATATAACATACTGTATTCTTAATCTCCCTTCACGGAGATTGGTCCCGGCCCCGTTTTAACTTTTTACCTTTTTCCTTTCTTTCCTACCCATCGGCGTTTTCTTCTCTCATCTCTTTCCATCCATGTCGAATAAGAAAGTATCTTCCTTGGAGCGGTCGACTACTATTTTCCCTTCTCCTCATCGTCCACATCTTCGTGTAACGGTTGATGCAGGCTTTCCGTTACACCAGAACCTCGACCACAGAAGCGTCTGTCTATTCCCTTCCCTTCCCTTTCCTTCCCTTACCTTACTTTACCTTACCTTTACTTCTCTTCCTCTTCCTCTTCCTCTTCCTCTTCTTCTTTTTATTTTTCTTCTATTTCTTCTTCTACTTCTTTTTTCCCTTCCTGTTTCTTTTTCCTATCTTTTCTTCCTTCATCTTTCTAAAACCTCCTTGTGCAGCTTTGACGCTAACGCCTTAAAGCAGCAAAGACAACTATATACTTCTACGAGAAAAGCACTATGGAACACAATCGAAAGAGAGAGAGAGAGAGAGAGAGAGAGAGAGAGAGAGAGAGAGAGAAGGAGAAAGAGAGAGAGAGAAAGAAAGAAACTAACATTTCCAACGATTGTCTTTCATGGTTTTTCTTTTCCTCCCCCTTTATTCTTACCGTTACTAACTTCAATGACTTTATCTTTATTTTTCAAAGAATTTCCATAAAATTGGAATAGGAATAGTCTTATATATATTCTAAAAAGTCTATTGAACGACTTTATATATATATAAGAGAATAATAATAATGTAAAAATATTTTACACACACTCTTTCTTTCTTTCTCTCTCTCTCTTTCTTTGAAAAATATTTTCTCTCGTATACGTATGCGTGTATCACATAGAATAAGAACAAAGATGGAGCTTTTGTGATTTCTATAACGAAAATCATAAATATATTTTTTTGTTTCTTAAAAAGTGCATTGATTTTTTACCTGCGAAACGATTCTCGTTCCTATTGTGAAAAAACTTATCTCCTTTCTTTTCTTTTTTTTTTTTTTTCCTTTTTCTTTTTTTTTCGTTAAACACACATACACACACACATACACATATTTATCTTAGATTTTTCTTTTTTTTGTCTATTTACAGAGCAACATTACGCGGCAGCCGATTCTAACAGTTCGACGCCAGCTAAAAGTTTTGTACCTTGTAAAGTTTGCGGTGACAAGGCAAGTGGCTATCATTACGGTGTTACTAGCTGCGAGGGGTGCAAGGTAAGTAAGCATCTGTTTCTTTTTCTTTCTTTTTTTTTTTGTTTTTTTTTTTTTCAAATAAATCGTCGACTCATTATAATATTGTTCTTTTATTTCATTATTATATTTCTGTTTTTTTTTTAAATCAACTCGATTATCGACTATTTCTTTTCTTTCTCTCTCTCTCTCTCTCTCTCTTTCTTTTTCTTTTTGTTTAATTTTCTCTTACCTCTTCTTCTTTAAACCTTTCGTAAGTGAACAACATTCACGATCTAACGATCGATCGACTTTCGAGAGAGTGCACAGAGAGATCGGTTAGATCAAGTTAGATTAGAAAGATTTATAGCTATGTTATACAGAGAAACACCTGCGATCTATACCTGCATATATAATATATATATATATATCCTATTTCACTTAATCTCAAGTAAAGCAATTATAGAAAGATGTTTATAGAAACGATGGTATACGTAATATACGATTATATCAAAAATAGATACGTGCTCGTATTCTCACTGAAAGTTTAACCAGTTTTTCTTATAGTTTTTCTTTATCTTAAGAAATTGATATTATATTTAATACATGATGTTCATCAGAAAAGTTTATAAGTAATACTATTCTATTAATCTCAAAAAAGTATCTATAATAATTTTTTTGTTCTTTTTCCTTTTATAATATTCACGCAAATATTATTTCTGCAATATTAAATGTGTCTAACAAACGATCGAAATAATAGCATAATCTCTCTACGAATCGTAAAAAAGAAAAAAAAAAAGAAAAAGGATTTCCCCAGGTAGAATTGTATTTTTTCCTCGATAAAAAAAAAAAGAAAAAAAAATCACAAAGAAAAGAAATAATAATGATTGACAAGAGTGACACGTTGCAGAAGGTGAATTCATTGTTACATATTGTGTTGATCGTGTATGTGCGCGTGTGTGTGTGTATATATGTATTGAACGACAACGTTATTACGCATTGCGAACATTAACCTACGCGCTTCGTGATCGGCACTAAAGTATAATTAGTATTAGCGAAGTTAGCAACGAGGTGTAATAAATTACAGGGATCCCTGAACGCGAGTAAAGGAAACGAACGATCATCTACTTTTGTGTTTTATCCCATGCTTGTTTTTCCTTTTGTATTTGTATTTGTATTTGTATTTTTTTTAATACGTGTATCGTTATTGCCGCCACGAGACTTACCGCGATATAAATAACAATTCATATCTCTTTTCGTTCGAGTAACGTGTTGTGTTGTGCAGAACCGAAATAACTATAATTAGTTTAACCAAGTTGCTATTTTGATGTAATAATGACAGAACTCGTCGAGTAATATCAAACTGAAGGATACGAAAGTGTTCAAATATATCCAACGAGACGTATTATTTGTGATATCTCTCTCGTTTAATCAATAATTCGTTTAATTTTATCCTATATTTTTGTTGCACAGAAAAATAACGAAAATCTTACATTTTTTTTTTTTTTTTTGAATGTCAGACTGCGTGGTTGAAATATTAATTATTTTCTCGGAAAAAAAAAAAGAAACATATACGTGCAAATATCGGCACAAAGTTTTTTTTGTTATTTTTCGTTAAAATCGAATATACCGATAAAGTTTTGATATATCAAATAAATTGCATTATATTTGCGTAGAAATAGTATTCAATTAGAACACATTATTCCTAAAGGCACATTAATTTCTTTTATATATATATATATAAATATCCCGTGTCTCTGAATTTACGTAATAATTCCAAACTTTTTGTTCTCTACAGTCTGTCCATCATATAGAAACGTTCATTATGAAAGTGGACGTGTAGTATGCCCATTAGCGAAAAAAAATAAAATGATATTATTTTCATAAATTATAAATAAACCACATGAAAACTGATACGTTTTCTCAATTTTATTCAAAAATCTATTTAACCCACTTTTATAATAAACGATCCAATTATATATACACCCCGTCCCTACCTCCCTCGTGTATAACTTTTCTCTCATTGATTCATATACTTATATATATATATAATCAATATACATATAATTCTGAGACATATCATTGTTAAAATACAAAGATGAAAAGTTACACAATAGATATTCCCGATTGTAAAGGAACCTACCCAAATTGTACTTTGAATTCCTTCTAACGATGTTTCTACTAGGAAGCGTAACGTTCATTTGTTGTGAATAGACCTTAAGCCTTGCACGAGATGCATATCCACCGATCGAGCGGCACTCCTCGTCTGAGATTGAAACACGGAAGCCCTAAGGCCAGAGTTAACGGTGAATTGGTGCATTCTCGCGATCGTACAACTACATACAACATATATACTTATATATACATATATATATATATATATACTGCATATACATATACATGTATAGATACATGGATCGAAAAAGATCGCATCTTCCTGCTTGTATATGTGTTTGAGCACTGAATGCACACGTGCAACTTTCGATTCCACGGTACGTTTTCAATATGATGAGAATACGTTCAAAAATGCGAGACGTCTTTTCTCCCTCTATCTCTCTCTCTCTCTTGATCTTTTTAAATGTGTGAGAGAGAGAGAGAGAGAGAAAAAGAGTGTAATCGTGACTCGGTATCGCTGACGAATATCTAACTATTAAAATTTAATAAACGTACGGAAAACGTACTCGTCCGTGGTTATAAGTGAATTCTTTTTCTAATTCTTCTACTTCTTTTTCTTTTTCTTTTTCTTCTTTTACTTCTATCGTAAGGATATATAAATACACTTGCTATGAAGAATTTCAAGAATTTGATAAATGCTTAAAACGGGATAATATGATTATAACTATATAAAAGTAGACGAAGAGTATTAAGTATTATATACGTCGAGTTAATCCTGTATTCTAAAGTAGTTTTTTAACAAAAGATATTTTATAAATATTTTTTTTAATTCAATCATTTTCGTGAATATCAAAATTAAAATTTAATATATATATTCTATATTATATTTTTATTAAAACATTATATATATATAATTGTATTTCTGAAAAAAACAAACAAATTGTGAAATAAGTTTATCGATTTAAAGTATTAACGTTTTTGAATCTATAATAAAGATTAAAATTTATTTAAAAGTTCCGTCGCATTTTTTTTGTCCAAACTTTTATCGAATATAACGAAATATCTCGATATATCCGATAAATACGAAACTAAGTAAAATAAAAATCCGTCTAATTGTAAGTTATAAGTCTGTTTAAAAAAAAAAAAAAAAAAAAAAAAAAATAAAAAGAAGAATCTGTTATATCGCTATAAGGAACTTTCAATTTTAGCCGGGGGAGGGAAAGTTTTAATTATAGGATTTACTTTGCGTTGTCCGACCATTCCAATGCTTTTACTACTGCGAACTCGCATAACATTCGATAGACAGAGACAACCAATTCACGTATGTCCACTTATAGTCAGCGGAAGAAATTATACGCTCATTATGCAACTTGTCGCGTCAAGTTTTTCCTTTTTTTTTTTCCCTCCTTCTCGTATTTGATTTCTTCTTCTTTTAAAAAAAAAAAAACGAGAGAGAAATATATAATAAAATAATTATAATAATTTAATGTGCCTTTCACTTAATGCCTATTTACGAGTTACAAGTTTAACACACAAGTCATCACGTACGGGATACAAACTTTTGTAAAACTTTCGATCGATTTTATACCTTCTGTCACATATATTTCAATAAACGAAAGTGCTCGTAACGAATTGCTATTAAACGAAACGATAAAACGCGCGTTCGAGATATTAAGTTTGCGACAATTCTTATTAGTCACCGTTTCACATCTCGCGTGTTCAATCTTTATCAACATTGTTCATCTACTACCTTTTTCTATACGTGTGCGAGTTGTCACATTTATCAAAAAATAATTCTTACGTCTTGTTTTTTTTTTTTTTTTCTATTTTTTAAATAATTATTACTTCCTCATCTTTCTTTCTTTCTTTCTTTCTTTATTTCGTGATACTTCGAAATAAAGAACGTAACAATTTCGAACGATTAATGAGAGGTACGTAATCAAAGCTACAATATTTCATCATTTTCCATTGAATTTCAAATAATTCTCTACCTATTATTAATTTTCTTTAGCTTTTGTAATAAACGCGCACAGTTTATACCAGCGTGTGACATAAGTATTGATTTTTCCCAACGAATAAAGAGAAAGAGAGAGAGAGAGGAGAGGGAGAAAGATAGAACTATATTACAGGCAGCTGTTTCACGTTATTCTATGCGCTATGCAGGATATCGGAACCTGGGATACGCATCAGCAATGCAGTTCTCGAACTATTACCAACACACGTTTATTCTTAATTAATTGATATCAATGTTAATAAACAGAAGATCTGAATTTTCGATCGTTTAAAGGAAACGACATGTTCTCAGGATTCTTCATTATTTCATTCATCTATCATCCCGTTTAATACATATATATATATATTGAAAATCCTATAATTTATCTTTGAAAATGTCAACATCGTTTCTCGTATTATTAAGTACTTTACATTCATTTTCTATTAACGATCGGACAAACAGTTCCTGTTCTATTTTCAGTTATTAACGATTTGTAATAAATATCCCATACACATTTCTACGCTCATATAATATATTTCATTTGATTTATCTGTCGAAACAATTTATTTTAGAATATATTTCATATAGTTTTAATAATATCATTTGTTTTTTTTTTTTATGACGAATCAACGTAATCCTTTTCTTTTTAAATGTATTCTTTACGTCATATAATTACGTACGTTTTGATATTTTACTTTTAAAAATAAACATACGTGTATATATATATATATGTGTCATTTCGTTACTACTATCTTTCGAAGTAACTAGAAAACGAATGTCTTCTAATTAATTTTCATCCGTTCTCTAGTCACGAAGATGCCTAGATGTTCTTTTCATTTCCGATTCGATCAGGCAAACTCCAGATTACCAAAGCTATTACGTTTAATATCAAACTGAACCGAAATGAAAACGAATTCTATCGTAGATCCCATTATGGTCATTATAACAAATTGGAAAAAAATATGATTTAAAAAAGAAAAATATATAAATTTAAATTTAAACTCAATTTTTTGTGTTCTCTATCGAAAATCTATGAAATGCGTGCCTCGAGTTCTTAGATATAAGATAAAATGGACTCGATGAAACTATTATAGGATTTTTTGTTGTTCGTTATTTATCTTCGTATCCTGTTTATAGATCTATGATAATTTCTCTATAATGATATCCGAGTTGTCGGAGAGTTTTTTAAAGATTTATTTTTCATTCGTAGGGATTCTTCAGAAGAAGCATACAAAAGCAGATAGAATACAGGTGCCTGAGGGACGGCAAGTGTCTGGTAATCAGATTAAATCGGAATCGTTGCCAGTACTGCAGATTCAAGAAGTGCCTAGCTGTCGGCATGTCCAGGGATTGTAAGTATGAGATAAGATCAAATAATCAAACCACTTTCGCATAAATAATTATCGTAGATACATCAGAATAGTGATTATCAAGGATTAAACTGTATAATCGAACAAACAAGATGACGATTGAGAAATAAACTAATTCTATAAAGCTCTTGTATCAAGTTTTTTTCTTTCAACGAAAAAAAAGAAATAAAAGTCAATACTAATTACTTCTTCAACATTTTCATCTTGAAATACCTACGTGTAATTACGAATAACTACTAGTCTTTCGTTATACGATATCAACAAAAATCACGAATCATAATAAAACATTTCAACTTGTTTCAATATTAAACTTCGGATTAAAATAGAAAATCTATCGGAATTAAGATCTATTTAAAATGTGGCTATTTTACGAATAGACGTCATTTTCGTTAAGATCTTACAATTAGATATGTAAATCGTTTGATTGGAAAACTAGAATATCAGGTACGGAAACTCATCTCAGCGCGACATCAACTTTGCTCTACGAGCTTCCGTTGGCCAAGGGCGACAAGTGGTAAAGTAAACCCGCGGGGTTGAAAGGGGTTTGATGTTAGAGAGGAAAAGAGAAAGAGAGAGAGAGAGAGAAAGAGAAAGAAGTTGCGTGCATAATTAAACGTCAAAGTTCCATCAAGCACAACGTACACGTGCATATGACGCTTAAGTCGAAACTACTCGTTCCTTTTTCCTAAACATAGTAATAAACTTATATATATATGTAAAATACAACTAAATATGTATAATATGTATATTGACACATACATCGCCATGTTTTTCTCTCGCGAGAAAGCTTTTATCATCGATTATCGCGTATCCTCTATTCTCTATCCCTTTTATTTGAAAATTACCATCCATTAACGGACACCCACAAAGTAATCAAATGTATCATATATCATATACACATATCATTCTACAATAGTTATTCGTTATCTTCCTCTCTCTCTTTCTCTCTTTATGTAATCGAAATTTCGTGTTTCGTCTGAAAACAAATATAATAAAAGAAGAAATTAAAGCAGGATCAAATAAGATTGCAAAGTAATCTCGGATTATAAAATATACCAAAATGAATAATAATATGTATAATAATTACAACGATTAGATTGGTAAATAAAAAGATATCTGTCTAAATAAATTAGAAAATAAAACACATTCGAGACAACAAACGTTATAATTCTAACGAGATAGAAAATATGTTATAATTGAAAACTGTGTAGTAGTATCCTAAGTAAAGTATTAAATATGCCATTTAATAAGATAGCATAAAATTGGTTAATAGGAACAGATGATAAACCCTTAACAAGCTAAAAAAATGTATTATAATAATAATAAATATTATATTTCGTATAGCTGTCAGATACGGCAGAGTGCCGAAACGTTCGCGAGAACGAGGTCCTGAAGATTCCGTACCGACGACCACGACGACGACCACATCGACGACTACAACCGGCGTGCAACAGCTCACGTCTTCCGCTGGAACTGGCAATAACAATAATAACAATAATAATAATAATAATAATAACAACAACAACAACAATAACAACAACAACAACAACAGCAGCAGCAACAACAACAATAACAACAACACCAGCAGTCAAAATAATAACAATAATAATAATAATAATAACAATAATGGACAAGGTGGCAATGCAATGCCAAGAATACCCCCATCAGCGGTAGCCGAAGCTGATCAATCCGACACGGATGTTAAACAGTTGGCAGTTTACGATGTTATCCTTCAAGTGTCGCAAGCACATCACGCGCATTGTGGTTTTACCGAGGAGTCCACGAGGGGTCTTATACGAAAGCCAATGATAATACCGGTGAGAATAACTTAATGGATATCCTAAAGACCCATGGCATTATTGTGCTTTTGCCTTTAATTACAAAATAGGGGCTTCTAATGTAATAAATAAGATCTCTGTTCTCGTTAACGCGAGATAATACTTATTATTCATTCAACGTTTAATAAACTCCGACCTGTATCGATTTTCTCGTGTGGAATGCATAAAAGAATTATCAGTGGTAGATCAAGTATATTTGAGGACACACCGAGCGTAACCTCATTTTCGTAGTGGCCTTTAACAATTTTTAATAATCTTTTCTCTCTTCTTTCTTTTTTTTTTCTTTTTTTCTTTTTTTTTTTTGATCTAGATTAAAATCCAAAAATAGATAAACGAAATTTGTTTATCGTTAAGATTTTGGTTGTTATTGTTGTTATCGTTGTCGAGAGAGAGATAATACTTAATTGAATTATAATATAAAAGTTATATAGAACTATATCCTTGATTAGAATTGGCAGCAATGCCTGTGTTTCTTTTTGTAATCCTGCTGATTAGGCGAGTGATTCTTCGCAGCCGGCCAGCCCGGAAGACCCAGAGGCAGCCTCCTCAACAGCAGAAACCGTTGAATCACAGAGAATCTGGTTGTGGCAACAGTTTGCGACTAGGGTTACACCGTCGGTACAGAGGGTGGTAGAATTTGCCAAGAGAGTTCCAGGATTCTGTGAACTCTCGCAGGACGATCAACTCATTCTTATCAAGGTTGGCTTCTTCGAGGTCTGGCTCAGTCACATTTCTAAAATGACTACAGATAGTTCAATGACTTTCGAGGATGGTACATACATCACCAGGCAACAAATGGAACTCATGTACGAGGTATGTTCCTCTTTATATTTAATTACACCTCTGTAATAAATTATTATTCGTTATTTTGTTTCGTTTATCATGATCGTTATCTCATCAATCTTAATCCTTTAAACGGGAAATTAATTATTTACCAACGGTAAATAGTACATGTGAAGATTTTTTTATGCAATTGTATAAAAAAAAAAAAGAAACAAAAATTTAGTAGCATCGTTTTTAACGAGTTCCCAGTTTGAAGGGTTAAAATTTGACTATCGTTCAAATTCTCAAACGACATTTACTAATCTTTTGACTGTTTCAATTTGAAAAAAAAAAAAACAAAATATCGTAGCCCGACTTCGTGGCAGCCTTGATGCAATTCACGTCATCTTTAAACGCTTATCAACTGGCAGACGCCGAGTTAGGTTTGTTCTCGGGTGCAGTGCTACTCGGTGAAAGGGCTGGTCTTAACGACGTTAAAGCGGTCCAGAGGCTTCAGGATCGTCTTTTAGAAGCCCTCAGAGTTCAAACTTCAAGAAATCACAATGGCACCGGTGCCGAAGCAACCTCAGCATCTGGCTGTGCCAGCATATCTGGAGTTTCTCAGAGGATACCGGAACTCAGGGCGCTTGGTGCTAGGCACGCTAATCTTTTAGATTGGTTTAGGAGAAACTGGACTAAACTGAAGCTGCCACCTCTTTTCGCCGAGATCTTCGACATTCCTAAATGCGAGGAAGACCTGCAATGAAGAGGTATTGTTATTAATACTTCATTTTATTTCTTATTCCTCTCGATACTTCTTTTTCTATTTTGATAATATGTCAACGCCCCTTGACTTGTTTTATTTCATTGTTAAAACGAAAATGAATCTTTATTAAAAGAAAATATTCAATTTTTGACGACAAATTCATATAATTAAATTAATAATAATAATATTTAAAAAAAAAAATAAATAAATAAATAAATGATATTGACTCCAACACATAACGCGTCTCGTTATATTTCTCATTTAAAATATACGCGTATTTTTTAATAAATAATTATTATATCAGGTATGTTAATAAAATGACAAAAACACATTTAAAAGAAAATATCGTAATCGATATGTTTCAGGACTCGTATCGAAACGGCACAGGCATTATATGATGGGTTCCTGCCGGGATAAATCTAAGCTTTCCAGAGCTGATCGCACAAATAAAGAAATTCAGGAAACGTTCTCGATTTCGCTGGTTGAGAAACGACAGTGACGTATCATCGTTGCTAAGATGAGATGCGATAGAAGAAGAAGAAGAAGAAGAAAAAGAAGAAGAAGAAGAAGAAGAAGAAGAAGAAGAAGAAGAAGAAGAAGAGGAAAAAGGGCTCATCGATTTTACCCCGTCTCAATGGAGATGATGATGATGGACCAGACAGACCATCTTTGGAAAGAGGGGGATTCCTTTCTGATCTATTCTTTGTTATGGAGGGTACGGATTAGCAATAAAAGCAAAACCATTCTCGGTCTGGACCATATATGAGAATGAAAAATATTAACCTCGCTTTATCGCGATGGGATATAATATATCACATATATATATATATATATATGTATATCGTAACAAAAGATGATGTGTATATATATATAAAAATCGCATTTTATTCGTGATTTTACGAGTCGTTTCGATGGTGAGAAAAGATGTTTTTCTAAGTGGAAGTACAAGCAATACATATACTAAAGTTATATGCTCAAAATCCGCGTAACTCCTGCTGAAGATATGAACGAACGAACATATGATCTAGGATGAAGAAAAACAAGATGAAATCGTTCGAATTTAAAGTATAAAGCAAGCCAAAAAAAAAGAAAAGAAAAGAAAAACAGAAGAAAGGCAAAGAAAAAGCAGAGAGAGAGAAAGAGAAGTTGTACCTTTGACGATACATATTGTAATGATGACTCGATATTTCGCACCCTTTTAAGGGATGGGCAATTAAATACTCAATAATGTCGGTATGATATTTCGCGTTAAAAGTTATTATCTCGTGTATATGCCACATTGCGTCGAAATAAGCGATTTTCGAAAATTTGTACGTTACTTGTGTTTTATTTTTTCTTTTTTTTGGCATTCGACATGCGCAAAAGAAGAAAAGAGGAAAAGAAAAAAGTAACGAGAATGAGAAGAAAAGAGGAAAAGAAAAAAAAAAAAATAAAAAAGGGGATTAAAAGAAGATAATGCGATCAAGTTCGCGAGGTTTATTGAGATAACTTTCGGAGTCCGATTGGTGTTCTTCTCGAAGTTTTAAGAATTTTAACGTATTATTATAATAAGAGGACTTTGAAAGTTTTGGAATTAATTTTTAATTAATTAAGGGCGGAGGAGGAGGAGGATAGGAGAAAAGAATTATCGCGATATTATATAAATATTTAGAAAATTATTCAACACTAATAACAAGACCGGCGAACGTGAAAACACCAAATTCCTTAGACATATCGGAAAAGATCTAATCGTATAAAAAAAAAAAGAGTGGACAGGAAAAAAAAGAAAAAAGAAAAAGAAATATAAAAAAAAAAGAAAAAAAAAGAAACTCGTCTAAAATGAAATCTCTTCTTTCTAGGTTTTCTTGATTGAACCCTTCTTCTTTTGTCTTTAAAGATTTTCAAAGTGACGCGCGTAAGACTAAATTGACGGCAATATAAACGGTTTGCACTTATATGGAAGTAAGAAGATAAAAGAAGTTACGTAATACTCCAGTTAATGAAAAGTAAAGTAAAAGAAAAGAAAAGAAAAGAAAAGAAAAAAAAGAAGGCAAAAAAACCGCGTTATCTATCGCGAAGTTATGAATTATCCTAAAATAATAATGTAATTCATATATAAAACGCAAATAATAAATAAATCTCATGTTATAAGACTCGAAAGGATATTCTATTTAGAACGTAACATTCGAGGTAATCTGCTACGAATCTCAATCTATGCAATCTCTATTTTTATTACTTGACAAGTAGAATAGTAACAATATATATATATATGCTAACTTACTTCAGGGTGATTCCGTCAGACTATTGATCGCTTAGAATCATTCATTCTAATTATCCTCTTTCCATGAAATATTATTATAATTGTTCGTTTCTCTGGTAAAAAGTCATTTAAAAAAAAAAAAAAAAAAAAAAAAAAGGAAAAGAAATATAGAAAGAAGAAAAAAAACATACCTACGAAACAATAGTACATTTATCTATGACGAGATAACCGCCGAGCCGGAAACTATCCATCCAATCCACGAGCAGAAATATTGGTTTTATAAAAATAAAATATAACACACAAAAAAACCCTGAAGTGAGCGCATTCAACTCTTCGAACTTTGAAACACTAATAAATAACTCTCTGACAATGACTAGTATATAATGCGTATATCAATATGTAATTATTATAAATAAATAAATATATATATATATATATATATATACATATATATATGTATGTATGTATATATCGATCAGTCGAGAGATGGGAAGAAAGAGCAAGTTTATCTATAGAAAAATTAATGTTTTATCTAACGCGTCGTACTTAAATTAATAAAATATTATCAATACATCGCTATATTGCTATAAACAACAACAAACAACAAGAAAAAAAGAGTAAGAGGAATAGAAGAATTTATCTTCGCGATATTACAAGAAAAGATTCCAACTCTAAACGCTCACATCAAGTTGTGAATAAACATATCATACCTAATTAATATATTGAGAACAAAGAGGGATATCATAGTTTAATATAAGAATGGATCTATATATATATATATTAAAAAAAAAATATGTTCAAATCCTTGTAATTATTAAATAATCCTAATTTCATCTCGAATAAAAATACAGAAGGAAGGATTGGAAGAGAACGANATATACATACATACAAAAATATATATATATATATATATATATATATATGAAGATTATAAATCTATATGCGGAAAAAAAATAGAATTATTATATGCGTTACGTCGAACGATCGTAGATCTATCATGGTAGCATATTTCGGCATTTATTAAGTCGATCGTTATTAACTAATTCTGTCTCTCTCTCTCTCTCTCTCTTTCTCTTTCCTTCTCCTCTATCTTTCTATCTCTTTCTCTTTCTCTCTCTCTCTCTCTCTCTCTCTCTCTCTCTCTCTCTCTCTCTCTCTCATTCTTTCTCTCTCTTTCACTATTTCACTATTTCACTAATTCAACTCTTTCCTAATTCTAATCGCCGTCGTCGTAGTTAAGAACAAAATATGTCGAGAAAATTCTTTAACCGAATTAGAATCTACCAGATAAAAATGATCTGCGCAGAGATATATCGTTATTATAATAATTATCTATACGTGCGCGAAATAGTTGGCAACGATAAAAAAAAAATTATTCACGCGTCGTTTCATTAGAGGAATTAATCATTCGTTTTAATTTTTATCGATTGATTATCTTTCTTTATCTTTTATCTTTTTATTTAAAAAAAAAAAAAAAAAAGAGAAAGTCAGAAGGAAAATTTCAATCAGGCCTTTGGCGTAGCAAGAACGTCGATACGATATATACTTTTAATATTATTATTGTTTTATTGTAAAAAATTGTATGAAATTTTCTTTCAACTTGGATCGAAGAGAATTATCGCGTTGATATTTTTCTTTCTAAATTTCTAGTCGCTAGGTCCCGTTTCATTCGATACTCTATCATTGATTAAGTTGATGAAAAAGAAAACGCGATTTAAAAACGGCCAAATATACTTAACGTTGATAGAATTATTATGATATATGCCATCAAATGGTGTCGTCCGCCAATCGATCGCTTGTTAAAAATCTTTTTAATCACACTCGCGAGCATAAATATCTTAAAAATATCTCATTGTTAGTAATAATAAATAAAATGAATATTCTCGCGTTGAATTATATTTTCTTTTCTAATAATAATAATAATACTAATTTCTTGTTTTCTTTTCTTTTTCTACCTTCGTGTATCCGATTTAAAGGCGGAGAGGGTTGGGGCTGCTAATGCGGGAAAGATGGGGTTGTTTCTATCGACTCGTAAAAAAAATATATCACCCCCTCCGAAAAATTGTGTCGGAGATTATTAATAATTTCTTTCTTTTATTCTTTATTTCTATCTATCGTTCTCTTAAATCAGCCTTAAAAGATTTCGGTCATGGTGCTATAACGTTTGTAAATACTTTAAATGAGAGAATTATAATCAATATTAAAATAATACTACTATTGATTATATATTATTTCGTTATATTATTACTACTATTATTATTATTATTATTATTATTGATACTATGTTAGTAACATTGCTAATATTATTGACATTATTATTATTACGATGTTTTATGATAATTATATTATTAGCACATTACCGTCGTCGTCATTGTCATTGTCATCATCATCATCATCATCCTCGTCATTTGTACTATAGCCATAATAATAGTAATAATTGCATTATCATTATTATTGTTATTCTCATTACGCGTAACACAACACTTTGTTAAGAGAAGAGAAGGATAGATAATATTCTCTGGAACAAGTTCGAGAAAAAAGGAAGTAGGAAAAAAAAAGATCAACTGCTCAAGCATAAAACCACCACCACCACCACCACCACTACAACCACCCCCACCCCCTTCCATATAGTCGAGAAAGAGAACTATGGTGTGGTGATTGTTATTATATTAATTTCATTTAAATATTATATCTATGTGTAAAGTTATAGGTAGATAAATGAATAATGCTTAAGCGTACGTCGCATTTCGTCACATAGCACACACCTATACATCTATAATCTTCTTTTTTAATATGAATGAAATGTCAGTTAGACGATAATTATACATATTACATATATATATATATATATATATATATATATATAAAGTATAATAAATCATGATGACGATCATGATGTTGGATGGCGTGCCAAGCGAGACGGGAATTGTTTCTTAACAAACAAAC